AGCTGTTGCCCCCGTCTCGAATGGTATGACTGTTGTGAGTTTTAAATTGTATATTGTTATGTTTGTTTTTTAAATTTTCCCCGGTTCGAGTTGTGAGCCGCCCTGAGTCCCCCTTTGGGGGAAAAGGGCGGCATACAAATACAATAAACTGAACTGAACTGACGAGAGAAAAATCTAATCGATAAATCAATCAGAGTTGCTCTTTCTACCATATGCAAACTGTTGCTAGTTAATATTTTATTTAACACCTGGAGTGAGCAGAGTAATTGAACTGAACAGAGGCCGCCGCCCCTGTTCTGGCAAGCTGGCCTGCTGATGCCAGAATCCATTACTTAAATACACCAAGATTCATAGTCTGGGATCAGTTTGTTCTCTATGCTTGTTAATGATTTTAAAGGGTCATTGATTGCAGTATAACGATAGAGCGAGGATAATTCAGCCAAGAATAAGCAAATAGGGAGGATGTTACAGGAGCGGAGCTAGCCCAACATTCGTCCTGAAGGGGAATGTAGCAATGCTTACGCAAAGCAGAAGCATTTTGGGGGGACCCAACAGAGCTCTGAGGGGTCGCTCAAGTTTGCAGTTCTCAAATGTTGCAGTCTTTCCCCTCCAGTTTAGACATTGGAGCATATCAGGTCATTCATTTCAGCCAGGTTCAATTCCATGCTAGTCTTTGTCTTTTGGGGGGTTCCTTTCGCCCCCCGTTTCAGATACTTCTCTTTGCTGGGAATGACTTGGATGTACTGATCGTTGCCACTGGTGGGCTGGTCGCTGCTCGATTCAGGAGAAATGGAATCAGACTCGGTGGGAGATGGAGCCGGTTTGGGTTTGGCCTTGGATTTGCCAGGGTGTTCGGGATAATGCTGGTCAAATTCAATATTCTTCAGGTGTATCTTCCTGTGGGGATGGGGTCCCCGGCCATAAGTCAACCCAAAACCATCTTCCCAAGACTTGTAGTGCATTTTCGCCAGAGACCTGCTCGGCAGAACTTGGTTGTCGGTCCACTCCCCAATGTAGAAGCGAGAGGGGGCTCGAAGGTCCGACAGGGACCGAGGGCGGTGAGTTTGCTTAGCGACACCTCTTCTGTACTCTTCTTCCTCCTCCTCGGTGTAATGAGGCGAGTAGGCCCTGCGGGGCGTTCGAACCACATATCTTCGGATGTGACGCGGATACAATTCCACAAAGTCTCCTGCCTCGTCCATCCGGACGTTCCTTGGCAGCCGAGTGGTGGCACGGAGGATTTTTTTACGGGGCTGGTGCTCGTTGAGAATGTAGTACTTGGCTGTGTGAGCTCTGCGGCCCACAAAAGGGGGCCCTCCGGGGGCCCCGTGAGGCTCCGGCTTCATTTGTGGGGGGCACTTTCTGAACAAGGGATCTGAATGGACATCTTCCACGGGTTTCCTCACCTTTACGGGAGTATAGATTTTGGCTTTGCAGAGTTCACTAGCACTCCCGTGGATCGTGTTCGGGTATCTAAGAAAGGGAGAGAGGGACAGGATGGTTAAGGGGTTTGGTCTCGCGGTTAAGACACCAGGCTAGAAAGCAGGAGACTGCAGGTTCAAGTCCCACCTTAGGCATGAAAGCCAGTTGGGTGACCTTGGGACCAATCACCAGGAGACAGTGAGTTCTAGTCCCACATGAAAGCCAAAGCTAACTTTGGCCGGTTACTGTCTCTGGTTTCTCTCGAATTCTGGGGAAGGGTCTTACCTGTTGATTGAAGGTTCTGTTCTAGGCTTCACCATCTCAGGAACAGGCGGCGTTGGAGTGATGGGTATTGGCGCTACAGGTGTTGGCACAACTGGATTATCTTTTGCTGGGGATGGCCCCACTGCCTTCAGTATTTCAGGTGGTGGTACCGACTGAGATATTGTCTGTATCTGACTGGCTTTGGGAGACTCAAAGTTTATTACACTGCCATTTTTCCTAGGGGTTGAGGACCGAGCTGAAGACTCCTGACTGATGACGTCAGTCTCCTGTTCGGGCCTCTTGCCATTTCCTTCCACGTTTTGGATTCTAGCTAAAAAATAAAGTTTAGGGGTGGGGAGGGAAAGTCAGTCATAGCTTCTTCAGTCATCAGCTGGAACCTATCAATATAGTGTAGCACATATTTAATCCATGCACGATGGTGCCCAACCCTAGTAACTCAACTAGCATCCTCCAACTGAATTTGCCCATCGTGTTAAAATTTATTTATTTATGTATTTATTAGACTTATATACCGCTTCATAGGGCTTTCAGCCCTCTCTAAGCGGTTTACAGATTTTTTTAGCAAATTGAGTCAGCAACAATCAGATTTTATTTATTTATTTATTTATTAGACTTATATACCGCTTCATAGGGCTTTCAGCCATCTGTAAGCGGTTTACAAATTTTTTAGCAAATTGAGTCAGCAACAATCAGATTTTATTTATTTATTTATTTATTAGACTTATATACCGCTTCATAGGGCTTTCAGCCATCTCTAAG